AAAAAAAAAAAAAACCTGCCCAAAATGGTAAAAACAATGAATCCACAGCCAGACAGCAGTCACAGCAGGAAAAATCTGAGGCAAAACCACAAATGCTGCCGAAGTCAGGACAGGCAGTTTCAGATTGTTTCAGATTTTCACGTTTCAGATTGATTACATCTTTCTCAGCGTCAGTGTTTCTTTACGCTAAGTCACAATCTGTTCCACTTGAAAGGACTAAACCAAACTTTCAACTCAAATTGTAATTTTTCAATGTACTGTTTAGCTACAGCTATCCGTCTTCTCTAGAAGAGCTCTTGATTGTCTCATCCAGTTATTTAAATGGTCTTCTAGAGGCCAGGAGCTGGAATGGAACAATATCCTTCGGCTTTTCTTCCCTGGCTCCAGCGCTTCTCATTTATTTTTATGTGGAGCGGGACAGAGCGTTGGCACCTTTCCACCGTGAAGGTAGTCCAGAATGTTTGTAAATTTGTATGGTTTCAGTAAATAAACAAAAAATGTGAGAACTTATCAGTGATGAAAAAGATGCACAAACTGTTTAAAGATCAAACAAATAAGGTACACTGTCAGTTAACTCATGGAATTATTGACGAGTCTGTAAAGAATTCCACCGGCTTAACCATGAAAAGATAAGTTCAGGTGCTGCCTTAAATTTTTAAGTATAATCAAATTGGTCGAGGTCATTTTTTGTCATTTCAAGTTAAATTACATTAAATTGACTTTAAAAATCAAATCTTGTATAGGCTAACTTAAAAAATTAAGTTGAAACTGGTTAAATCAATTTGATGAGATAAAACAATGGAAAAACACGTTGCTATGACTTATTACCATTTTTACAGTGCAGAACGCTGAAATTACATGCGGCGCACAACCCAGCAAACTCTCGGATGCAGCCCTGATTTGTTAATATGACTGATAACATTTATTATGCCTGTTGCTAAACTTTGGTTATTTTAAAACATTTAAATAATAATATACTCACAATAGTATAATGTCTCCAGTTTATAATGTGGATCATCTTTCAGATCAGAGAGTAACTTCTACATATTGTCACCTCCCACATCATTAAAACAATTACGATATAGATGACAAATAACCCACACTCCTAGCTAACTACTTTTCTCATCCTAAGTGACCAGTGCGTCTCATAGAGCCGTTTATATTGAAACTTTTGCCACAACCACAGGTAATTAAACATACCGGTCTGAGTTGACCTCACAGATCAAATACCTTTCTTTCCATTTCTCCTTAAATGCTAATATAAGCCCTGTGTTTTCACTCTCTCTTGTGAAGTCTTGTTTGTGTTACACTGTATTTCTGAGCTCTCTCTCTGGTTACATGTGTTATGGTTTTGATCTTGTGCCTGGTTTCCTGGATTTCCCTGTTTGCCTGTGTTTGGGACTCTGTCGTTTGTATTGTTTGACCCTTTGCCTGGTATTTGGATTGTGATTGTGGATTACTCTTATTAAAGCTGCGTGTGGATCTTCAACCCAAGTCTTGGAGCAGTTCATAACACAAATACACTTTATATAATTTTCACTTTATTTAGTTTTTTATTATTTTATGTTATTGTTCAAGTCATCCGGGGCTCAGATTGGACATCTTTGTGGGCCGTATGTTTGACACCCCTGATCTAGACAATATCTAGTGAATCCAAATTGATTCTGCACTCAATTACATGGTCATTACCTATAAAACAAGACAGTGAAAGACGACACACATGACAGTGTGATGCTGTGTGTCTCTGTGTCTTCAGTCTCTGTTGATTGTGTGACTGTGACATCTCTGTAGTGGCTCTTATTCACCATCAGCTGATCCTGAGAGAACTGGACTGATGTCTAAATACTGAAGGTCTACAGTAAAACACACAGACAGTCACATATGAGACATTACTGCTGTCACGTCACATCAGCAGATCCATTTCAGAAAAGCACACAGTATATTAGACTATCAGAGAGATGATCTTACCACAGTTTCTCCAGTTTACAGTGAGGATCCTCCAGTCCAGCACAGAGACCCTTCACTCCCAAATCTCCTAGTTTATTCTCAGACAGATTCAGGTGTCTCAGGTGTGAGGGATTTGATCTCAGAGCTGAAGCCAGAGCAGCACAACCTTCATCTGTGACACCACAATCACTCAACCTGTAGAGAACAATGACACACTCTTCACTCTCTCAGATCACATCAGTTTAGCTGTGAATCCATTAGTAACAGTATGTAAACAGTATGTAGTAAACAGTATGTAGAGGTGGAAAGTAACTAATTACAAATACTTTCGTTACAGTACTTGAGTAATTTTTTTTCTACTTTGAGTATAATTAAATTGCGGTACTTTTACTTTTACTTGAGTAGAATAAAACTAAAATATTCAACTTCGCTACATTTATTTTTCACCAAACTGACTGGTCATCGGTAGCGCCCATTGCCAAAGCCCCGCCCCTCATTTATTAGCGCTATTATTTAGTGGAGCTTTTCCATATATTCCATGCATTACCGTTTGAGATTAAAACGTCACATTTGAAGTTGGTTTACCAATAATATGATGAGATTTTAAAGGGATAGTCCACCCAAAAATGAAAATACTGTCATCATTTACTCAGCCTTACGTTGTTCTAAACCTGTATTAATTACTTTGTTCTCCTCAACATAAAAGAAGATTTTGAAGAATGTTCGTAACTAGAAAGTTTCTGGTCCCCATTGACTCCAGTAGTGTATTTTGTTTTTCATAATATGGAAGTCATGGAGGCCCAGGCAGCAACTGTTGGGTTACCAGTATTGTTCCAAATATATACTTTTACATTCAACAGCAGAAGGAAACTCATACAGGTTTAGAACAACAACAGACCTTTAATTTTTGGGTGAGCTATTCCTCTTAAGCAGCTTAATTTAGCTGCTATTAAAATGTATGTCAATAATGTTAATCAAACATCAGAAAGAAAATCACTCACTGTCCTTGACCAAATTACTTTTGTAAAATAAATAAGAATGAATGTGCATTGAATTTATACAGTGAAGACTATTCAGTTTATTTGTACATTTATTTTATACAATATAATTTATTATTCAGTGATTTAAGTGTTTCAAGTAGGTCTATTTGTTTTTGTAATTTGTGGCTGTTTACTTGTCTTAAGCATAAGCTTGTTTTTACTTAGGCTAGTATTTTTTATTTTAAATTTTTTTTCATATTGAAATTGGTAAGAAGAATTATGAAATTTCAATGCATCAGAATTTTGATAGGATAAAAATCCTATTTAAAGCTATATATATATTATATTTGTAATAGGGGGCCCTGCATAGCCCCGGGGCCCAGTAAGGTCTTAATGCGACCCTGACTGTGCCCCCTCACCTCTGGTGCCGTCTCCATAGTGGGCGCCCTGATTTTAGTCTGTGAGGCAGGGTACTGCCCCGGGAAGGTCTCCCAAGCTGTTAAATACACAGATTAAAAGCTAAATGTTTTAATTTCGGTTCGTTCTTAGCAAAATATATATATATTTTTTTTTTCATTCAGTTATGTAGAGCGAAATAAGAACGGTACTGCATTTAGAAAGAATTCTTATTAACTGTGCTATTATTCTTGAATTTTCAAACTGCTAACACTTTGCACTTTTCAGTTTCGAATTATGCCTTTACTGTATGACCAACAATGACGGAGTCCATTTTATGTTTCAGCTGTTTGATCGCGCCGGCGCCTCACTTGCACACTATGCTGCTGCATTCATTGGAAACAGCACAGCTGTTCACCGTGCCGTTCGGCGTGAGACCCGGTCCACTGTGGCATATTTTTGCTCATTATTATATTTTTCCATGGATATTGAAACGCGCGTGAACTACAAATCCTATTTTACCTAATAAATACACTAAGAGTTTAGCTTAAAATAGGCTACGTCGCGAATATGGACACATTTGGATTTGTGCCTAATGAGAGAGGTAAGTCCAACTTTACCAACTTTAACATTTAATTTTAAATTAATTTGTTTTGGCTTGTTTTTTGCTAAGCCTGTATTATTATATACTGCAGTTATATTTATCCATTAGAATTATATATTTTTGAATTCTTGTTCTGTTCTGATACGGTTAAACTTAAAGGATTTGTTGTAAAGTGAGGGGAACTAAAATATCCTATAGTGTTCATAATGTTGGTACATTATAACATTATAAGGCCTGCCGTTATTATTTCTGAAAATGCAACTTATACGTGTGTTTGTAATTTTTATATTTTTTGTAGGGCTGCACGATTAATCGCATGCGATATTTAACGCGCATCTTGTCAGAAAGCCGGTTCTGTAATCAGCGGTAAATCTCCATCACCTGCGGGCTTTCACATTGAGCAGCATTAACTATACAGAGCCGTTGTTCACTGATGAGCTGCGCAAAAAATCGTGCGAATATGAACGTGGTTTTGCACAACTCGTCAGTGAACAACGGCTCTGTGTAGTTAATGCTGCTCAATGTGAAAGCCCGCAGGTGATGGAGATTTA